AGCTGGAAAAATAAAAATAATCTTAATTCTAACCAATATAGAGACCATCTAATAGATTACATTAATCTTGATACAGCCTCTGCCACCACAGTCCCTCTAAGGATCAATTCCTCTAGGCCCCCCGTGGGGGCCGTGGTTTTGTCCTCCCTTCGCTAGTGTCACTGGTGTGGGGGTAGGTGTGGGCTTGGGGCATTTGGAGATTCCCTAGGGGCGTTTTCCCTGCAGGGGCCTGTGGTCATGTCCTGGTTGCGGCTCTGGTGGCTCACGGGTGGTGTTTTCCTGGTTGCTGCATGCTCCTCCTCTGGGCTGGGTCTCTGGCTGGGCCTTGGGGGCTTGGGTCATCGTTGATGTGTTTTTGAGGTTGTGGATGGGTGTGTTTACGGTGGAACTGGAGCAGCATTAAATCTGCTGCTCGAATGAACAGTGTGGTGTGGTGAATTTTATTGATAGTGTGGAAAAAAATACGGTAACTGAAAAGGCTATTGTCATTCATGTTATGCCATTAGCTTATCCTAGGTACCGGTTTCCTTCCAGATACAGCTTTGCAAAAATTGCATAAAAACCACGTGCAGCAACAAAAACATAACATTCCAGAAGCATGCTTTGCTGATCGGATCAGCTGTTTGCAACACTTCCTAGGTTGGAATAGACGTCAGCGCAAACTATCGTATGTTCACCATTACCTGGCCGAAACCTGAAGTGACATCATTTCCCGGCATGGAAAATTTGTTTCTCCAATCACTAAGCTGTTGTCAGGCTTCAAACTCCACAGGAAATCGAGGTTGTGTTGAGAGCCTCAATTCTAAAACTGCCTTGTTGGCTGACTTACTGGACTCTAGAGCACAGGGGGCACTGGTTCATTCCAGATTTCACAATCTTTACTTGATGGATGCTCCTACAAAGTTTTTCTTTTCATTGGAGAAAAAGAGAGGACAGAGCAAGTTGATACATGGTTTGAAATCAGCTGTCAGGGATCCTTTGACTGCGCAAGGTGGTATAAGGCAGAGAGCAGCAGATTTTCATTCAGAGCTTTTCTGTTCTGAGTACTTGGAAGATGAGGAGACATTGAATTGCTTCTGCAGTGTTCTCCTCAGAGTTTCTGTGGACTCCACCAAGGAGTTGGGGGCGCCTCTTACACTATTGGAAGTCCAGACTGCTTTAACAAGCATGCAAGGAGGGAAGGCCCCAGGTATCGATGGTGGAATTTTATCTGACTTTCTGGGTTGATTTTGCTGATGATGTTTTGAAGGTTTTTGAGGAAAGCATCGCCAGAAGAAAGTCCAGAGCTGCAAGAGAGCTGTTATAACATTGTTACCAGAGAAAGGGGATCTCCAGGATATTAAGAACTGGAGGCCTGTTTCCTTATTGTGCACTGATTATAAGTTGCTATTAAAGGTGATGGTAAACAGGGTGAAGATGGTGATGGATCAAATTGTCCATCCAGTGCAAACTTATCGTGTGTCGGGTAGGTCTATTGTCGACAATGTGTCATTAGTTAGAGATGTTTTGGAAGTCTCCAATTCACTGGGTTATGATATTGGTCTGATTTCTCTGGACCAAGAAAAAGCTTTTGACAGAGTTGAGCACCGTAATCTCCGGGGAGTGCTGGAAAGGTTTGATCTCAGCTCTGGTTTAATTGCTAAAGTTCTGTACGAGGAGATTGAAAGTGTACTGAAAATAAATGGTCATTTTTTGTAAACCTTTTAAAGTAACTAGAGGCATTAGGCAGGGCTGTCCACTATCCGGTATGTTATATGCTCTGTCTATCAAACCAATGTGAGGTCATCCATTACTGGGTTGGTTTTATGTGATGTCAATATGTCTTTTAACCCTCTGAGATCCAGGGTATAATTGGTCGTTTTTGACTACTTTTGATTTTACCTCTATATTTCACCTTTAAAAACTGTTTATCTTGCCTTGTTTGGTGTCATTATTTTCAGCACAACCTCAAATATTTGAAGTTATGAGTTATTTTTTTCATTTTGGCATACTATATTAGCACAATTGATCTAAATTCAGACAAGAAATTCAAAATCCGAGTAGAAAAAAGTTATATTTTTCACTGTAAAACTCACAAACATGTTTAACGAATCATTTTCATAACTTGAAATCAAATATAAATTGTACATTTCTGAAAATTATGCACAAGTTATATGTTACTATTTATCTCAAAATGCAGCCACAGGCGTTTTTTTATATAACCATTTAAATGTATTTACAGAACAATCAGGTGTTCTGCATCAAATTAGAAGGCACACTAATTATTTGTGCCAGTCCCAAAAAAATAGTTTGTGTTCAGTATAAGACAAAGGAGAACACAGGCCTAAACCCTGCAGGTCTGTCAACAGGAGGTGTACCAGTCCAGTTTTCCATGTGGGAATAGTGTTTCCAGTGGCATCTGCCTTTGGTGGCTTTTTTTTTTGAGCAAATGTGACATTCACCAGTATAACTGACACACAATACAAAACAATAACTACACAACACACTAACTACAGCCTCCAAAAACGCTAAACGTCACTAATGTCTCACATATGAAAACTCGCTCTCACTCTTCCTTTCGCTCGCCTGATTTCCATCGCGAGTGTCCCTCCTAAATCTTCCCCTTCTTCCTAAACAACCAAGTGCCACATGTTGCCATATCATTTTTTGAATTGGCTGGCATGGTAAACTTTAACACCAATACGGAAGGTGTTGGGTCTGTGTTTCCACAAGCCCCGCTAGTTTAGAAACATATTCTCGTTAACGACAAAAACAAGACGAACATCTTTTACTTGCTAGCAAGGGAGGCCCCGGCCGGTGTCTCAGAAACCACTCTGAATCCTACCGCAGACTTACCCCAACAACGGCCTCCTCTCTCTGCCTTTTATTGACATGACAGTTACAATACACAATACAACACAAGCATCTCCCACCATAAAAACCCCCAATGGTTCTAAGACAAGGCACTATGTGTGTGTATGTGTACAGTTGCTTACCTCTATGCATGTGCAAGAATGTGTATGTGTGTGTGTGTGTGTGTGTGTGTGTGTGATCGATCGATTACTTGCAAGGGAGGCCTCGGTGTGTTCACCACGAAAATGATCCTAAATCCGGCCTCCTCCTGCTGCCTTTTATTGAGAAACAGTTCACACAAAACATATCACAGCAAAGCAACGCCCACATGGACAAGGCATTGTATGTATATGTGTGAACTTCTGTATGTAAGTAAGGATGTGTGTGTGTGTGTGTGTGTGTGTGTGTGTGTGTGTGTGTGTGTGTGTGTGTGTCCTCCTGCTGACCAAAGGGTCATAAAAACATAAAAGCAGGAGGACCATCCTTGGTCATAAAGAGGGTAATCTCCCCCACACCCAATGTATGGTTTGCCATAGATAACACGGTGAAACCAACCAAGGGCAGGAAGTTTTACCAAACATCAGACAGACCTTTACAAGGATGTGTCTGTGATAAAAGACTACACCCAGAATACACCCCCACCCAGAACCTCGAGAATCTTGGGAGGGGGACAGTGGAATTCCTTTTGTTGAGATGGCAATCATAAAAATGACAACATTTAACAATTCACTCTAACAGTGTGTGTGTGTGTGCGTGTGTGAGTGAGTGTGTGTGTGTTTGAGTGACTGTGTGAGAATGTGTGTGTGTGTGTGTGTGTGTGTGTGTGTGTGTGTGTGTGTGTGTGTGTGTGTGTGCGTGTGACTGGTCATAAAATGGTAATCTCCCCCACACAAAATATATGGTTCAATTCCTGTATTGGTTCACCATGCACAACACAGTGAAGCCACAAAAGGGCAGGAAGCATACCACACAAGAAACAGACCTTCAGATAGAATGTATCTGCAATAAAACCTCCCCCAGCACAGAGTGGCAGGAGAGGTGGTCAGAGACAAAGGAATGTCTTGATCCTATAGATTGAACTAAGACCTTACAAATTTAAGAAGCACAATGACAACATTCAACAATTAGACTTAACAGAAGGGTTGCTTTTTCTTTTTCTTCTTTTCACTCGCAAGTGGAGAGTGTTTGCTAGCGCCGTCCGTAGAAAACGTCGTTTATACCGTTCTTCCCGCTGTAAACACCACTGTTTTGTTCAGAAAAAACATTGCGTGCATTCTTATCATAACTCTGGTTTTACGTGGCCCATCGACATAATTCAAAGACTGGTATATAGTTTCAAATCCACACTTTCGACCCAAGTTGAAATGGAGACTCTGAGTCGCTGCATCTTGTAGCTGTGTTGTATTAAAGTGGTCATGTGATTTTTGATACGCCGGCGCGTCCCTCAACCCCAGCGGGTTAATTTGTCTACATATGTTGATGATATTATTGTTTTTGTTAGGAGTCAGCAAGATGTGAATAAGTTGGGAATGATTGTTGGGAACTTTTGCAAATTTTCAACTGCACGGGTGAATTGGGCTAAGAGTCTGGGGGTGGGTGCTTGGCTTACTGGATTTCAATGACTTCCAGGTGGGCTGAAGTGGAAAAGGGGTGTTTTGGGTGTGTGTGTGGGAGATGAGGATACAGAACGTAAGAACTGGGAAGGGCGGTGGAGAAAGTTGGCGGAAATTGGAAAAGTGTAGGTGGTTGTTGCCCCAAATGTCATATAGAGGGAGAGTGTTGATTATAAATAACTTGGCCACTTCTGTTTTTTGGCATTAGCTTGTATAGAACCCCCTCCTGGTTTGCTCCATGACCTTCAAGTTTTGTTGGTTAATTTCTTTTGGGATAATCAACACTGGGTACCCCAGGCAATACTTTTTTGCCCAAGGAGGAAGGTGAACATGTGTCTTTTGTTTTCTTTTCCTTGTGATGTATCTGGTGATGACCTGATTGGTTTTAATTGTAAAAAAAATGTGGTTGTAGAACTCAAATTCTTTCCCTCCTTTTCTATTTCTTTCTTTCTTTCTTTCTTTCTTTCTTTCTTTCTTTCTTTCTTTCTTTCTTTCTTTCTATTTTAAGGGCTGTTGTTTTTTTCATGTTAATCATGTTTTTGTTGTATGGTACAGGAGAAACAGCCATTTGTAGGAAACGGGATATACAGGTATGTTTGATTACTGATTACCAAATCAAAGTAGCTGAAAAACACAGTCACCATGAAGTACATTTACTGCTGTTTGATCATTTGATGAACACCCATATTGGAGTTCTATAAGGAATACATTTTATGGTGAGCCTTAATATTTTTCAATTTTCTGTTGCTCTATGAAAACATCAACTACAAAATGATGGTTCAACAGCTCCAAGACTGCATATCTGCTCATGTACAGAGGTAAGATCACAAAAATACTGAACATTAAGAACTGAAAGAAGCACCTTATATAATAAATAACAATACCTGTGATTCTTTAAGACAGAAAATCGAGACCAAGTGATAGACTCCATGATGAAAGTGAAAGAGCTGGGGGTTTCATTTCATATCATTGATTAACTTATCACTACTCGCGGGCTGTGTTCCATCTGCATTTAAACATGCAGTGGTGCAACCTGTCCTAAAGAAAACTAGCCTCGACCATACTGACCTTGCGAATTATAGGCCAATCTCTAAACTTCCGTTTTTATCTAAAATATTAGAGAGAACTGTCCTCTTGCAATTAGAGACCTACTTAAATGCAAATAACATTAGTGACAAATTTCAGTCTGGTTTTAAACCTCACCACAGCACTGCTGAGGGTTTTCAATGATCTTCTTTTAATTACTGACTGAGGTCGCCCTGCCGTTTTAATTTTATTGGATCTTTCCGCTGCTTTTTATATGGTAGACCATAAAATTCTTTTAGAGAGACTGGAAGATGTTATAGGCATCAAGGATTCCACCCTTAATTGGTTTAAATCCTACCTCTCGGATAAGACTTTTTCTGTCATGATGGGTTGCTACTCTCTGCCGCTGCCCCACTTTGTTGTGGAGTACCACAGGGGTCTGAGTTGGGCCCTCTACTGTTTGCCTTGTAAATGCTACCCCTGGGTTCTCTCTTTGACAAGTATCAAATGTCCTACCACTGTTATCCTGACAACATTCAAATCTATTTCCAATTGTCTGATGATCTGCCAGCATCACTGAATCGTTTGTCTGACTGCTTGAAAGAGGTTACAGAGTGGTTGTCAGCCAATTCTCTCATTTTAAATGAGAAGAAAACTGAGATTATAGTGTTTGATAGTCACACTCCACAAGATCAGCTATCTGGCTTCTTCCAATTGCACCAGTTTTCCAAGGTCAAACGTTTAATACCGTACACAGATCTTGAAAAACGTATACATATCTTTCTTACCTCAAGATTAGATTATTGTAACTCTCTCTACTCTGGAATCCAACTCACTCACCCTCCCAACGATTACAGCTTGTTCAGAATGCTGCGGCTCGTCTCCTAACCGGAACTAGAAAATTTGCCTCCATTACTCCAGTGCTCTCTGATTTACATTGGCTGCCTATTAAATTTCGCATTGATTTCAAAGTTCTGAATCTTGTTTTCAAATGCCTAAACTACCTTGCGCCTGACTATCTCACCGACCTCCTCAGCCTCTATACCTAAAGTATAGCCATTCTTTACGATCATTGGATCAGTTATTTCTGGCCTAGCCCAGGCACCGTCTGAAGACTAGGTGTGATTGTGCCTTTGCCTCTGTAGCAGCAAAAGTTTTCCTGCTACCATTCGTGCCTCTGACTCAATTCAATCCTTCAAAGCACGCTTAAAAACTTACCTATTCGACCTGGCTTTGTCACGGTCTGGCTGGCAGACCGTGGGGATGTGGGGAAAGGAGGACCCAAAACGCAGACTCTGCGATGCAAACAGTGCTCTTTATTTACAGTGAAAAGGCTGTAAACACAATAACTCCCCGCTGCTCCCTCGAACCCCGTGCGCGTGCTTCCCTCCGATATCTGTGCTCGTGCTCCCCGCTGTTGTGTTTCCGCACCCCCGTGCGTGCTGCCTCTCCGGACCACTCCTCCTCCTGTAGGGAAACCAGAGACGCAGCCGTCAACACTAACCAGCACATATACGCACAGCACAGACCTACGCTAACACACACTGACTTGGTAAAATAACTCAATGATCCCGCGTCGGTGGGAGCTCCAAGACTCTCCTAAGTAGCTCCCCCGACGAGCCCTGATCAGCGGCAGGTGTGTGGCTTCGGGTGTGGCCAGTCCCTCCGCAGGGCCACACCCCTCAGGCCTGCAGGTGGCCGAGCTCCATCCTCCAGGCACACCCGCAGACATACACACCCATACCTCGCCTAAACATATGAGTGGGACACAGACTAACACAGCACAGAGAAACACATATGTACACGCACAGAGAAGGAGAAACGACACCAAAAATACATAATAATAATAATAATAATACGCAGGTCCATGACTGCCCAGGGATCCTGGGTCGCCCAGTCCCAGGACCCTGACAGGCTTTTCCGACCTGCTAATTCTCACCACTCATTAATTGCTGTAATGTTACTCATTTCTGTGGACTATCATGAATTCTCCCTATCGCCACTTAGTAATGTCTTTTGTTTGTTTCTCTATTTTACCCTATCATGACAGTGGACAAACAGGACACTGATAGAGTTGCACATGCAGGGACAGAACAACAAGAACAAGTGACTGACACCACAAAAATTGTGGACAAAACGCATGTGAGAGATGCAGGAACAGAAAAAGAAGATGAAAGGATGGGCCTCATCATAATAGTGGATGAGCAGAGCGTCATAAAAACAGTGGAAGAAACAGCCATGGATGAAGTTGAGACAGAAAAAGATGATAAGATCAGGGGCAAAACAATGAGGGAAAAGGACGCTGAGATAGTGGGAGAGGAGGGGAAAAAACATAACGATGCAGTGATGGACAGTGTGACAACGATAGATGAAAATCCTAGTGACAAAGGGAGAGAGCGGTCAGAAAAAAAAGTGACACTGGACAAACAGGACACTGACAGAGTGGCACAGGAGGGGATAGAACAACAAGGACAAGTGATGGACATCAAGAAAACAGTGGTCGAAAAAGAAGCTGATAAAGTGAAAGATGCAGGAACAAAAAAAGTAGATGAAGCAACTGACACCAAAATAAAAATGGACATGTGTAAAGTAAGCAAGAAGGGGAGAGAAAAAGAAAATCATGAAGTGATGGTGAAAGACAGTAACAGAGTGGGGCAGGGGGAAGAAGAACTAACAAAGCCATTGGTGGGAGCCAGTATAAATGCAATGCAGGACAATCATTCGTCACATCACTGCATACACAGAAACAATTTTTTCATTCCTGTCATTGTTGTCTTTATTGTGGGATTTGTGATGACTGTCTGTATAGGCATCACCTGCTCAGTAGGATAGAAAAGACAGTGAGACTCATTATTACTTATCATGGATGGATTCACAAATGATAGCATTTTATATACCAGTGATTTTCTTTCTAGATTGATATAATTGAAACCATTTTAATTGTATTTTAAATAAAATAATAGGCAATTTCATAAATTAACTTTGTCATTATTTAACCATGTTACCATTATAAAATAATCAAGCAACAAAATAATTTGTTGATTCAGAATACAGTGGTCCCTTGCTATAATGCGGTTCGCTTTTCACAGCCTCGCTGTTTCGTAGATCTTTTTTGTAACCCTACAGTATAGCATGCGTTCAACTTGTGAAATTTGCATAAATCTTTGATCACTAGCAGTGTAACCCTGAAGTTCAGTACAGCACACAGTACAGTTTTCTCCCCAACAAACACAAAAATTGTGACGAAACATTTTGCACCATCAAAGGCAACTGCGGGTGCCTTTGGTTTCATTCTATAATACTGGACTTATTTTTCTACAAAGGTTTGAACTTTGAGTGTTTAAACAAGAGAGAAAAGTCTTAAAATGTTCATATCTGTCTAAGAAAAGTGTATAAAGCGTGTAGTGAGGGGTTTTACAGTCTTAAAACATCTACGGTATTTTCCGCACATTAAAATCCTTTAGTTTTCTCAAAATTGCCAGTGAGCCTTATATTTCGGTGCACCTTATGTATGAATTCTAGTTGTTTACTGACCTCGAACCGATTTTATCTGGTACACGGCGCTCAAAGATCTGTCAAAAAATGTTTTAGTACAACTTTGGTAAGCCACAAAGCAGCACCACTTGATGGATTGCAGTAGCATTATGGCTACTGTACTCAGGAGCCTCGTGGACTCATAGTAATCTGGGTCCAAAACAGAACAAAACAGAGGGACAAACAATAACAATAAACAATAACGTGGCACACAGCTGACGTGAAAAAAGGCACATACCTTTAACATTGCATGACAAACTCTGTATTCCTTATCCACACGTGAAGGCAAAAAATGAGTTTTAAAAAATCTCAGTTTTCGGTGATTCGAAACGCCATTTACGTGTGGATGAAACAGCTGCGTTTTCAAAAATACCCGTGTAGGTGCAGACGTAGCGTAAAAGAGTTAGTAGTTTATTTGCGGACTACCTGCAGATTACTTGTATTTGCTTAATTGGTTACTAAATGTTTGAGGTGTGAAATAAACTGCAATGGAGCAAAATATGGGTTTGTGTGGTTGGACGATTTGTTAGTGCATGCGTGTGTGTGCGCGCGCATGCGAAGGGGGGCGCAAACATTTTTCTGTAAAACAAAGGGGGCTCCAGCGAAAAAAGTTTGGGAACCACTATGCTAGCTGGTATGTAACGCTGTGCTATGTGATCCCTAGCGACACAGCAATGTTAGCATTACATATACAAAGTGAAGCTGGAGGATGAACGCTAACCCTTTTTGCTCTTGATAAAAGATCCTGATTGTTTTTGACAAATGCAATCGCATGGAAAGATGCTGTAAATGGACCAAACTTCAGTCAGGATAAAGCGTATAATGCGCATTTTAATCCGGTGAAGCTTATGTATGAAAATAGACCTGTTCATCGACAGTGCGCCTTATAATCTGGCATGCCTTGTGGTCCAAATATTTTTTGGTATAATAATTGTAAAAAATAACATTGGCTACATTGCGGATTTCACCTATGGCAGGTTGTTTTTGGAAAGTAACTCCCGCGATAAACAAGGGACCACTGTATGCCCATGTTACTTTTTTTTATATCTTTATCAATTTTTGATGAAACAACTATAACACAACATTTGATATTTAATAAACTTTTTATTATTACCTTGAACTTGTTTTAATGTCTATAATATTTTAAATTTAGGAGATACAGGGTGTAACTACAGGGGTCCAATAAATAATGGCCATGCTTCATACTAATGTCTTCGGAAGTTTATTTGTCTCTCTCTCTTATTTTCTTCAGACACCATGAAAACTGAAGAAAAAACAACGTAAATACCTTTGACCTTATAAAAGTCTCTCATGTTAGTGTCCATAAACAGTCTTGAGCTAGTAGAACAGGAAAAATGCAATGTGTCAAGAGATTTTTGTTTTTATATAATTTGATCAGCTTCATGAAATGTGCTTTTCTGTTTCTAAGCAATCTAAATGTCTATGTGACTTTTCACCTAATAACTTCTATGATGAACTTAAACAGCTACTAAACCGCTTCCTGTTTTTAGAGAACAGATGTAGAAAAGGGAAATAACCCGTCAAGACCTGACAGGAAACTGCAGGTTTGCAGAGCGTGCTTTTCTTACATGCGTATGTGCTGATTCTGTTGATTCTGAGTGATGTTGTTATTTTTACACACACACACACACACACACAGACATGTATAAAATAAAGTACGCAGGCAGCGGCGGCGCAGTTTGCAGGGTGCGTTCGTTGCTGCCCACGCGTGTAAAAAAACGACTGCAGTGTTTGTGTTTTCTAACTCAGGTGTCTTAGCTGAAGAATTACAGGGTGATTTAAAGAAATCCCCTGTCATTTAAATTGGTCCTTTGAGCTTAGAGATGGAAACAACAGACACGTTTCTGTGACTCCAATGGTCTGACTGCTGTATCATGACGTCATGGGGAAGCCAGCACCGAAGTCTGTTGACAGCCCTCTCTAGGTAGAGGTGAAAGACCTGGGACGTAAAAATTCGGGTTCAGGCCGGTGAAGTCTGGTCCACGGCGTTGGGATCCAGCCAAGACAATTTGAACAACCAGCAAAAGACAACTGAGGGTGAGAAAACACTGTTTAGGTCTAATCCGCCGCAAGGATTTGAAATAAAAGTGTAGGTCTAATCCGCCGCAAGGATTTGAAATAAACGTCTGTAGGTCTAATCTGCCGCAAGGATTTGCGCAAATGTCTATCTGTGTGTATGTATATGTGTTTTGGAAGTAAATTGATTTTACAGCACAGTACGCTGCTGAATTACTTCCATTGTTTTTATTGTTTTCTTTGTGTTCCTGCAAAAAGCTCAAGTACTGGTGACAACGGGGAAGGTTGAGTTCCGTCTCATAAAACTGACACCCCTCCGTGAATAGCACGGAGTAGAAGGGCGTGTCAGCCACCACCCCCGAGTCTAGTACCAGAGAAGGCTCTGCAGTTCTGTGATAATGGGCAATCAGCCCACAAAACTCACTGCTGACGAGCAGTGGTTAGAGAAAAAATGTCCAGGTGCCGGACAAACTAGTGCATGCAGATGGAGAAATCAAAAGAAAACTAAATGTCCCACATGGGAGGGAAAATGTAGCCCCTCCGCGTTAACACAACTGAAAGAAGCTTTTTTGAAAGAAATAGGATCAACATGAGGGTGGGAATGGATGTTTGTATCTGTGTGTGCCTGTATGTCTGTGTCTATATGTCAGGTTGGGTATCAGATGCCACCTCTCTGGGGACATCTCAGGCCCTCCAAGGTTTGGAGGCCTCTCTCCCCCCACCACCACTTCCCCTGCCAGTGGCGGACTCCCCCAGACATCGGTACGTTGGTGGTTCTTTGTGTCTGGGGATGGGCGTCCAGGTACACACCGGCTCACTCCTTAGCGGCCGCTTGTCGGGGCCTGGAGCCTGGGGCTCGCTCGGGCCACTTCGGAGGTGGAGTGCCCCCGGCCTCTCGGCCTGGGGCTCGGTCACTCAGGCACAGCTGGCTGCCGGCGGAGCTCACGGGCGCGTCACTGCAACTCCCCCTGGCTTCTGCTCCGCGGCTGCTGAGTGAGCCCTCATCTGGGACTCTCCTCAGCTCTTTCTGGGACAGTGGCGCGGCTGCCCCTCTGTTGGTCTTCCTTGGTCTCTTGTGTTCTGAGGGCCTCTGGATGTCTGGAGTCTTGATCTCCTCCATACCTGCTTCATGCCCTGGGGGACGGGGCAGTGGCCCCCCCACACCCTCTAGCAGATCATTACATGAAGGAACCTTTTAAAAAAACAAGCGCGTCCATGCTCACAGGTGTACACACGGGTGATCACACCCACAAACTACACCCTTTTTGGCTCCTACCTCAAAGCACACTGTGTTCTGTTGATCTTATGTGCTGCACAATAATGTTTAATATTTAGTATTTACTGTTATATTCCCATATATCATTGTGATGTTGTTTATTCTATTACTCTTGTTCTCTTCTGCTTGTTTTCCTTTTTCTTTCTCAACAGGTGATCGATATATGCATTTTCTTTTCTTTTTTTTCCTTTTTTTTTTCTTTTTTTTCTGCCCATTCTGTTGGTTTTTGTTTTTTGCCCTTCTCCCCGTCCCTCTTCTCAGCTGTTTCTCTTTTCCTCTTTCTTTCTTCCCTTCTTTCCCCAGTCAAGTCTGTCCCGTATTCAGCAAGTGAAAATAAAATAAACAATAAAAGGTGAATCAAATAGACCATAATGGCAAGGCTGGGATGGTCAATTTGGTAAAGTAAATCCGTTGGGCATCTTTCTTTGCCTTCAGACAATAATTCTGATGGCAAAAGAGCCAAACGGGACAGGCAAAAAGAAAAAAAAAAAAAGAAAAGAAATAGCATCAACAAAAAACTTACAAAAGAAAGGAAAACGTACGCAAGAATTAGAATATTTCCAGGCCTCGAAAGAAGAAGCAGTTAGGCGAGATGAAAATAAAAAGAATAAACAAGAAAAACTTACACCTGATGAGAAATGTTTAGAAAGACAACAAACCAGAGCAGGACTAATTCAAAAGAAAGACAGAGGAATGCATAGTAGAACAGCAAGAGGCTTTAGTACTGCATGCTGGAGGTGTGGAAAAGAGGGACATTTTGTATGTGACTGTAAGAAACAAAGAAGCAGTTCAGACTAGGAAGAACATAATAATCCCTCATCAAGTAAAAGATTAGAGATCAAAGTTTAAAAAGGGCTGGATACAGACCCAACTGAATACATATAAATACAAGGAGAAAATAAAATAAACAAAAGGCTAAATTACATTAGAGTTTATTTTTAACATATTCAAAATAATAATAGCATGGATAACAACCTGTAAACTGATATTAACAATGAAACATAGTTGGCATGACGACCGTGTACAGAATGTATGGAATGAATGAAAGCAAATAATTCACACGAAAACCTATTAAATAAAACAGAGATGTATAAGGTACATTAAGGCTGTGTCATTGTTCAGCCAAGGAAAGTGAGTGAAAAGGTAAATGTCTCCAGCTTGGGAAATGGTGAAACTGCAGATCACCCGAAGCCCTTGATGGATACAAAATAAAATATAAATAGAATATTATAATAAACTGCCTGGTTCGCCATGCAACAGAGAACAAATGTGACCGAAGGTTGGATCTGATATGAGGCAAACAGAAGACCAGTCTAAAAAGTAGGTACAAACCTGTTCAGAGAAAAAGCAAATCTGTGCAGATTGGATGAATTCTAAATTATCTGTTTGCTGAGTAAGATGATCCTAACTATTAAATTGGCTCAGTAATAAAATATTGTAATATACTGTTGTTGTTATATAGAAAGAAAAAGATAATAACATTAATAATGACATAATATTCATATGAAGAGGCACCTTAGTCAGTTATGATGTGAGGTGGACAGTTGTTAAAGAAGTAGTCTGCATCAAGCTTAAGTTTGCTCAAGCTCAGTAGAACGACACATGAGATGAAGATAACGAAGAAAATAACTAAACTGATGGAGTGCATAGAGGCACTTGACCCGCTGGAAAACCTGTCATCCTAGATGAGACTTTGCTGAGATATAGAGCAAACCTATAATAACAACCAATAAGCCAAACCCTGTAGACAACAGCTAAAGCTACAGGATTGAGAAGCTGAATTAAATATGTGGACACCGCTAAGCTGATGAGGATGTTACACATTTTCTTTTATTTTTTTATTTATTTGTTTTTTAGAGCAGAAGCTGCATGCTACTAAAAGCTAACACATGCAGCTGTCTGTGAGCTCAGTTTTTTTCCCCACACTTCTGCTCTGTTTCAGTGGCAGCATTTTTTTTTCCATTTCTTTTTGTGTCCTGACTCATGACACATTTTTTGTTTTTGTTTGATTTTTTTGTTGGTTTGGAAACGAATTTATGACCATACTT